CGACTCCTGAGGACAAGGAGAGTGGGCAGGAAGGGGTTGACAGTATGGCAGAGGAAGGGACCAGTGACAGTAACACCGGCTCAGAGAGCAACAGTGCAACTGTGGAGGAGCCACCAACAGATCCTACCCCTGAAGAGGAGAAAAAAGAATAAATGTTGCCTTGTTTTATGTGTTCTAAATACTTTTTTAAATGAAATAACGCTTTTTTGAATTTTAAAAACAAAACAAAACAAAACAAAAACTCAAATACTTAGCAGGGAGAAATCTTGATTAAATGGATCACTTTGCACCTTCTATAAAACTTCAATTTATTTCAGTAGGACTATATTCAAGTCAGGAATCCTGGTAGTGTAGTGGATTACAAGCTGGATGCTAACCACAGGTCAGTAGTTCAAACCTACCTGTCTCTCTATGGGAGAAAAATGAGTCTTTCTGCTCCAGTAAAGATTTACAGCCTTGGAAATCCTATACAGGGTTGCTGTGAGTTGGACCTGGTGGCATGCAACCACCACCACCACATTCAACTCTGGTTATTAAAACTTTGTTTTTGGTATTTTGTAGAAGCCATTGGCTTGACTGAGCTGAAGTTAAATAGAACAGATAAATAGTTGCCTTAGGAGAAATTTGACAACGTGGTTACTTAAAAAAATTACTTGAAAAAAAAAATTACTTGAAACTTCTAATTAAACATAGGCAAATAGATGGGAGTCCTGGTGTTGTGCTTCTGGTTACAATGCTGGACTGCAAGGCTGGTTTGAACCACAAGGTCGGCAGTTCAAGCTCCCCAGCCACTCCTCCAGAAACCCTTTACAGGGCTACTACCAGTCGGAAGCACCTGCCAGAACTTAATAACAACACCACCCACCTCCATTTCTTCACCAAATCTTATAAAAGGACTAAAAAAATAAGAAGAACTAAACCCAATAGGACAAAGAGACTTAACTTTTCCCACATTCTTTATCTCCAGCATATTTCCCATTCTCTCCATTGTGGTCCAAGATAAAAGCCTGACCACTTAACCCCAATAACTATGAGTATCTTCAAACTCCTTGACTTCCACAACTTTTTGTCTTTTAGAATACATCTCCTTCTTCTCACTTTCCTTGACTGCTTTGGTAGACAATCCCTCTTACCCCACTTCTTACCTCTCAACCATGTTTTTGCTTTGCTTGGCCTGATAGTCCTATTATGATAGTCTCTTTGGACAGTTATTTTAGAAGGAATTTTAGAATTCCTTCCAGACACAGCGAAGCAAAGCTAAGCAAAAACAGGATAATGCCGCATCAGATGGATCAGAATTCAGTGCTTCTTATTTCCAGGTTCGTACTAAAATGTGCTTCTAGGTTTCTTTAAACTTTTTCTCTTCCCTTGCTTTTAACTCTTGAACTGCTCCTCAGTCTATTTTGGTTCTGTTTTTATATAACCCTGGCTTCCTTTAGCCTGCGTTGTTGGTTGTTGTTGCAAAGTGCCGTAGAGTCAGTTCTGTCCCTTAGCGACCCTGTATAGGGTTTTCAAGGAGCGAGCGGCTAGTGAGCTTGAACCCCAAACAAAATTTAACTGATTCTCCAAATGCAGGACACCCCTCCCCAAACCCCCTCTCTCCCCCCCCTTATAAAAAACTCCCTACCTTTCTCCCTTTTCACAAGAACCTGTTTTCACCATCATAAAATGTCCTTTTTAGGGAATTCAAAGGAAATATGTACCATCAAAAAGGCAATCACCTTTATTTTCCTTTTTTAAAGTATTTAACCTTAGGTTGCTATGAGTCGCACCGACTAGATGGCACTTAACAAACAACAAAATACCAGCTATTTCCATTTGAAATGTAAGCCTATTTGAGAAGCTGCCTGCCTGTGAATGGGGCCAGAGGGAGTGAAGAGTCTGTGCTGGTGAGCCTAAGGTCTCTAACCCGAGAAACTGAAAAATAGCAAATAAAAACTCTGCTCTGGGAGGCCCGGGGATAATTCATCAATTTCCTCCACAAATCATCTGGAACGTCTTTGCGTATTTATTCTGAAAAGGGTGTATGCGAATGAGGACAGAATTTAAGCAAGAATTAAGAAAAGTTAGACCCTTAAGAAAACAAATAAACAGAAAAACTCAATGCTATCCCAGTCTTTTATAGTTCATATAGACAGACTTTTAAAGGCACGTTACCTGCAGATTACATGGAAATTGAGTCCTGGTGTGGCGCTGTGAGTTAATGCATCAAGACAGCAAAGCCGTTTGAACTGCAAGGTGGGCGGTTCAAGCTCTTCAGCTCTTTGGAAACCCTATACAGGGTCGCTATAGGTCGGAATCGACTTGACGGCACTTAACAACAACAACCAAAGGAAATTAGGAGAGGCCTTACATAGTCATTTCTGCGTGAATTGATTTTCATTAGGCCAGCATTCTTTCACCTCCAGGGTCCCAAGGGTTTATTACAGCAACAGTGACCTCAGTAACAATCCCTTCAAATTAGTTTTATTCACCCAACTGCGTTCAAAATCAGACAGTCCTTCATGACAATTTAAAATGCCATCTAGATTCTGAGTCTGGTTCTGCACCATGGAAGCTCAGTCTCTGTGGAAAGCTTATTCCCGGCAGGGGAGTGCCACGAAGGCATGCTTCTAATGTGATGTTCACGTTGGTGTGCGCACTTTGGCAGCGAAGAAGAATCTGTGCTTTAAAATGGTGAAGAGTCGGTGAGTGTGCGGTGAATTATTAGTCTCGCAGCTGGGGCTTGGTTGTTGTCTCCCTCCCTTTTACACTAAAAACTGAAAAAAAACCAATACACAAATCTAATAGAGACCAATACCAACCGAGAGCCTAGGGAAAGCGCGCCAACCACACAAAGAAAAGGAGGGGGGCTACTGGGATTCAAAATCATGTCCCTGGGACAGACAGTCTCCTGGGCCTATCGGAGTTAACTGCGCGCTTGATCGTAGCCAATAGACACAGGGTTTCTGGTCCAGGTCCACCTTGAAGACTGATAGACAGTTATATAGTCCAATAGAATAGTGTGATGCTCAAGAAGCAACCAATACGTTGGGAAAGTGGGTGGAGTGTAGGCCAGGGGGTTGGCGGTGCCGTGTCATGGAGGCTCAGTCTCTGAGCAGCCATTGAAGGGGAAGGAACTGCGGGTGTGTGTGTGTGTGTGAGCGCGCGCGTGTGTGTGTGTGTGTGTGCGTGTGTGAGTGCGCGCGCGCGCGAGTGTGTGGACAAGGAGGTGGGGGCAGCCGAGTTAGAATACCAACTCTTTGGACTCCATTTGTTATTCTACCCCCCCCCTACACCTATCTGGTGGAGGTGGGCGTTATATTTTCATTTCTTTTCATTCATTTTCAAACCTTTTGAAATTTTAGGGTTGGGGGTGGTGGGGAAAGGCAGGAAAGGGGAAGGGAGGAGACTAGTGGCAGAAGAGGAGGTGGAGGACATGGACATGAATAAGAGGATTAACCTGGAGTTAAGGAACAAAGCCCCGGAGGAGGTGAGATGACTCAGCCCCCTCCCCTTCCCCATCAGCCCTATATTCGGAGGGTCGGATTCCTTGCGGGGGGGGGTCGAGTGGTGTGCAGGGAGGGATGATAAATTAACCCCTACCTGGGGTTAGGGTTGGAAGAAATGTTTAATATGAAGTTTTAAGTCATTAAAAATCTTCTTAAAATGGCGAAGGGTTTAAGTTTTTAAGGGCCTTTTTGGTGTGCAGGGGACTTCGCCTCTTTGGGCTGTTAATAAGCTGGGCTTCCTGCCCCCGTGGGGGCAGGGGAGCAGGGTAGTGGGGGCCTCCGGTGCATCGCTCCTCGCCTTCCTCCTCTGCGAGGCCCGCAGCGTGGGCGCGACCCCCAAGTCCACTCGCCCCTGCCGCAGGCGTCGCCGCCTGAGAAGTTAGTCCAACTTTCCTGCAGTACTGCCAACTCGCTTGGTGTCGGGACCGGAGGGGTGAAGCGACTCAGGCCTCTGGCCTTTAGGCCGCTCGGCGCCCGGCGTTGCACAGGGCGCGGGCTCGGGTCGCTCGCGGGGTCTGCGGGCCGCCCGTTCCCCGCGGCGCCCTCTCCCCCGGGAAACGGCGCGCGCCGACCGCCGCGGGACGGAATCTGGAATCTGGGTCATTCACGGGCTCGTCGAACCGCCGGCCTCTAAGTTTTGGGACTCGTTGCTGGGACCGGAGATGGGGAGGGGACGTGAGGCGGAATTCCCTTCTTTCCCTCCAAAGGGGAGGAGGACTCCCCCCGCGGCTTTTACACTGCGATGTGTTGATATCGGTGTGTGGTGTCGTAGTGGCCGCAACTTCGAATTTGATCCGGGGAGACGGTTTCACACAACTCAACAAATGGGTCGTAGTAGTTTTGTGCCTTCAAAATGGGTTCGACGAAACTAAATGATGCGCTCTCGTTCCTGTCGCCTTAGTTAAAGAGACGGGCTGGGCTGGGGCTACGTGAGGCGGAGCTTTCGGGGAAGGGGGGGTGGACGGAAGGTATTCCCGCCTCCTTTGTGAGGGTGCCCCTCGGCCTCACCCAGCCCTTAAAGTCCCGGGCTGGTGCGTGAAGGGATCCCGGCGGCCTGATGATCCCTCTTTTTCTTTGGAGTGTCCCAGCACGCTGTGGGGTTCCCCATCGACCAGAGTGCATGTGCGTTTGTGGCCCTCGCGGAGACTCAGACTTCAGTTTTCAAGGGAAAGTGTCAAGAATCTTGGCTCGTGTGCGGGCCCTGAAATAAAACCTAGAATTGGAATAGGCAAGATAGTGTTTCCTTCTCTTGTCGCTATGAGTCGGACTCTGGCTGATGGGCTGCAGCGTGCTGAATGGGAACTCAAGATAGTTGTGTACTTTTTAAAAAAAATCTTCCTGATATTGGTAGGGGGTAGTGAGAAGGAAACAGTCGCTGCTGTTAAGGTCATCCCAGACAAAATTTGTGGTTTTTAGGGTCTGTAGGATCTCTAGGGAAAAACAAAATCAAACGTGAAAGCTGTTTCTCAGAAGCTCACATTTGGAACGCTTTTTTTATGTCTTGGGTGGGAAAAATGGATTTGCCTTCTACCCCTTTCCCAACCCTCATTCTTTAATTTCATCACAGCATTGCCACCTTTGGGGAGTATAGGAGACAATGAGTGACTTTTTGCAAACTCTCCTTCCTCCTCTAGGGTGTAATAACGGTTCTTGTATTTGTAAAGCTCATGACAGTTTACAAAGCACTTTTTAAAAAAATTATTGTGAATTGAGTGAAGGCTTACAGACAAGATTATCAATTTTACACCAACAAATCCTAAACTTTGTTTCATCTCAATTATTGCAATCCCCGCCATGCAATAAGAGTTGTCCCTCTTCCTGCCTGTGATTACCCATGTACAGATATCTTCTTTCAAGCTCATATATTTGTGGGATACACAAATAATACATATATATCCCACTCTGCCTTCCATACCCATTCAGCCTGTGTCTGACCGCTGTTGTTCCAAGGTTGTGTACTTATCGTTATTTACCTCTATCCCTTTAGCATGATTGGCTTTTTGCAGACTCTTCCTTCCTGCTCTCAGTTGTAATAACGGCTCTTGTATTTGTCTTCACCTTTCTTCATTACACTTCTGCCAACCCTTGTATATTGCCCTCGCCATCACTGGAGTTAACAAGCATCTAACCCTAGTCAAAATTCTTCAAAGAATTTTTTTTTTTAGTATGAAAACTTTCTGTTGAGCCTTTAAAATATAGTGGTTTCCTATAGTATTTGTCCTTTTGTGCATAATGTCCTCCAGGCTCATCCATGTTTTGAAGTGTTCCACAGATTAAATCGTTATTATTCAACATAGCATAGTATTCCATTTGTGTGTATGTACCAAAGCTTGTTTATCCACTCTCCCATTGATGAGCATTTAGACTGTCTCCATCTGTTTGTTGGAGTCCTGGTGTGGTGCTGTGGGTTAATCCGTTTGACTTCAAAGCCGTTTGAATTGCAAGGTTGGCGTTCAAGCTCATCAGATACTCCTGGGAAACCCTGTACAGGGTCGCTGTGGGTCGGAACTGACTCGACAACACTTAACAGCAACAACATCTGTTTGCTATTGTGAATAGTGCTGAGATGAACATAGATGTGCATGTATCTACTTGTGTTCTGGCTCTTATTTCTTGTGGATATATACCAAGTAGAGGGACTGCTGGGTCATGTGGAGTTTCTATTTCCAGCTTTCTGAGAAAGGGCCATACTGTTTTCCACAGTGGTTGAAGGAACCAGCAATGGAGGAGGGCCCCAGTGCCTCCACACCCTCTCCAGCATTTGTTGTTTTCTCTTTGCTATTAATTAATGCAGGTGTGATAAGATGTCTCATTGTTGTTTTGATTTGGGCCTGGTGTAGGAAAAGCACTTGACAGCTAACCACAAGGTTAGCAGTTCAAACCCACGAGTTGCTCCTCGGAAACCCTATGCAGGGTTGCTATGAGTCAGAACTGACTCCATGATACTTAACAAGAATGACAAATGGTGGTGAACATTTATTTCTTCATATGTTTGTTGGCTGCCCGAATATCTTCTTTAATGAAGTGTCTGTTCATGTCCTGTTGTTTGTTGTTATGTGCCGTGGAGTCGGTTCCGACTCGTAACGACCCTTTACAGGGTTTCCAAGGCTGTAAATCTTTGCGGGAGCAGAAAGCCTCATCTTTCTCCCATGGAACAGTTGGTGGTTTTGAACTGCTGAACTTGCAGTTCGCAGCCTGATTTGTAAACACTATGCTACCAGTCCTGTGCCCATTTTTTAATTGGGCCATTTGTCTTCTTATCATAGAGGTTTTGTAGTTTTCTATATATTTTAGAGATTAGTCCCTTGTCTGTTGCAAAAAATTTTTTTTACCAGTCTGTTGGCTTCATTTTTAATCTTTGACAAAATCTTTTGATGTACGTGTCTTAATTTTTAGAAAATCTCAGTCCTCTATTTTGTTTCCTGTTGTTTGTGTTTTTAGTAATGTTTGATTGTGTAATTATGCCATGTATTGTTGCTGTTGTTATTAAGTGCCATCGAGTCAGTTCCAAACTGACTCTGGAGTTTCCGAGGAGCAGCTGGTGAGCTTGAAACACCGACCTTGTTGTTCAGACTGACTCTAGCGCCACTCTAGGACTTCACGCCATGCAATAGCGCCCCTAAATTTGTTCCTATTTTTTCATTGATGATCTTAATAGTTCTAGGTTTTACATTTAGGTCTTTAATCCATGTTGTTTGTTTTTGTATATGGTATGAGATACGGATCTTGTTTAATTTTTCTGCAAGTGAGTTTCCAGTTTTGCCAGCACCATTTGTTGAAGAGACTATCTCTTACCCATTTAATGTGTTTTGATCCTTTGTCAAAGATCAGTATGTGGATGGATTTATTTCTGGATTCTCAGTTCTGTTCCATTGATCTATGTAACATTTATAGTATCAGTACCAGGTTGTTTTGACCACTGTGGCTTGTGTAGTAAATTTTGAGATTAGGGAGTGAGAGGATTCCAACTCTGCTGTTTTCTTAAGCAGTGCTTTGCTTATCTGAGGTCTTTTTCCTTTCCATATTAAGTTATTGATAATTTTTTTTTTCATCTCTTAAGAATGCTGTGGGAATCTGGATTGGGATTGTGTTATATCTGTAGATTGCACAAAACACTTTTCATGTTTGCTTTTCTATTTTTTCAGATAAACTTGTAAATTGGATTTGTATTGTTCTAGAATTGAAATTGGCAAAGGAAGTCTCAGTGCAGTGAAGTCATTGACTTAAGTGGTAGAACTGGTTTACAGACACCAATTCTAGTGGTCCTTCTACCACTCTCCTATACTGGGAGTCAGAAAGACTTGGAGTTGAGGCACAGCTGTGCCACATCCTAGGCAAATCATGTTTATCCTCTGGCCCTGAATTTCCTTGTCTCTAAGCATGATGCTTCCTGATGTCAAAGTCATATTCAAGTAGGGAAGGTGGTATTCCTTGTTGCTAACTTTGAGTCCTCAAAATGCTCTAAGCATATTTTTTGCATTGGGAATGCAGACCAGGGTTTCCTGCCTTCTCCTTAAGATTAATCATTTCAGGCCCACACCAGGACATCTTGTTACTGTAAATTTGACCTAATAGGAGATCCAGTCCTCCTCCCTGCTTCAAGAATGGAGAAAAGTCCTCGAAAATACTACCAGGATGGCAGGGACAAAAAGCATTTTGTTAAGAGTGTAGTGTTCTGAATGATGTTGTTTGGCCTCAATATGAGAACAAAAACCACCCCAGAGCTGAGCTGTTCCAGAAGGGTAACCAGGTTTTGTTTTGTTTTGAGGTTTGATGGCGTTTATCAGCCAAAAAGATAAGAGAGTAGAAAATTGAAAAAAAATGAACACAAGTCTTTCTTTTCTCCTCTGTGCTGTTAGAACAGCTTACTGGAATTCTTTCTCAGTAGCCTTGTTGTTAAGTGCCGTTGGGTTGATTTCAATTCATAGCGACCTGTATAGGATTTCTGAGAAGCAGCTGGAGAGTTGCTGTCCTGTATGTCCTGATGTTGGAAGGTCATTCTCAGACACCATTTTAGGGTCAGAAGCAGGTTTACCGTGGGACTTTTTTCCAAGATTTATTTTTTATGCCTCAGAGGTTTGAAGCTGATATTGAACTTCTTAGTTGAAGTTTAAAATTTAAAAAGTTGTCTGTAGTGATGACTTTAGACTTTTTTTTTTTTTTAATGTAAACGATGTATGTAAGGGGATTGGTGGCATTAATGTGTTTCCTCTTACAGGTGACAGAGTTGGTCCTTGATAACTGCCGGTGTGTCAATGGGGAAATTGAGGGACTGAATGATACTTTCAAAGAACTAGAGTATCTGAGTATGGTTAATGTGGGACTGAGTTCATTGGCCCGACTTCCCAGCTTAAATAAACTTCGAAAGGTAAGTTGGTTTTAAATGTGAAAGCTTTGTGAGCTAGTTTTGGCCAAGGGAACCCATCTTCTGTCAATTGATCAGAAGTTTCTTTCTAGAAATAAGAAAAGCATTACACAGGATTTTAGAATCAGCTCCATTATCGTTTTATAAATATAAATTTAATAATGGAATCTCTTTATGAAATGGATTTGATTTAGCATTTCCCAATTGTTTCTCTCTGAAGCATAAAATCCAAATGTAACACAGCTGGGACCAAACCTGGGTTCTTGTTGTGGTTGTTGTTTTTAAGTGCTGTCGAGTTGGTTCCAACCTACAGCAACCTGTGTAGGGTTTCCGAGGAGCAGCTTGTGAGCTCTAGTCCTGATGTGGCACCATGGGTTAATGCACTGGACTGCAAGGTTGCTTTGAACTGTAAGGCCAGTGGGTCAAACTCAGCAGCTGTTCCTTGGAAACCTATACAGGGGCTCTATGAGTCGGTACCCACTCGATGGCACTTACGAGCAACAAGAAGTGGGAATTTGGAAGTTACCCAGAGAGAATAATGATAATTTTTGCTTTCTTTTAAATTGGTGTATTTTCTTTGCTCCATCCTAAGTCTTCACCAATATTTATTTTTTTCCCCTTGTTGAAAATGTAGTTAGAACTTAGTAGCAATAATATTTCTGGAGGCTTGGAAGTCCTGGCAGAGAAATGTCCAAATCTTACCTACCTCAATCTGAGTGGAAACAAAATCAAAGATCTCAATACAGTAGAAGCTCTGGTAAGTTGAAAAGATTTTGTTTCTTGATTTGCTTTTATGGGTTGAAATGTCTGGCATTTGTATTTTCTCTTATCAATTTATGTTTAACTCTTGAAACTTCTGAATTTTTAATATGTTGTGATTTAGATAGTTCCGACTTTCTTTTCTTTTAAGGTGAACTATCCAGAGAAATTTAAAAATCAATGAAAAATTTGTCATCAACCTTAGGAGTTGAATATCTGGTTTTTAAGTTTTCATCATTTTCCTAACTTATATTTCTTTTCCTTCCTTTTAGCTTATCTTTTGAATTATTTTATAACTGTTTTCTTTATATATGGGAAGGAAAAAGAAATACAGTGAAAATGAAAATTGTTGCTTTAATTTTTATAAAAAAGGTTGGGAAAGTTGAAATGATTGAAAATAAACTTCTCTGTGAATGGAAAGTAACCATAATATTCTTGTTGCCTTTTAATGCACACATTCAGACAGTAAAAGTCTGTTGAGTATCTACTAAAAGTTAGGCACCTAGCCAGGTGCTGGAAACAGGAATGAACAAAACAAAGTTCCAACTCTTATGGAGTTTACATGCCAGGGACTAATTAAGAGGATAGGCTGGGCTTGATATAATAATTCTTGTTTATAAAACTCTAAAAATCATTCTCTTGATTTCAAGTATATGTTTTCTAGTTCATCAATTAAAAAATAAGATGGCATTTTAAGTCTTGAATGTAAATTTTAACTTTACTTTTACAGCAAAATCTTAAAAATTTGAAATGTCTTGACTTGTTTAACTGTGAGATCACAAACCTAGAAGATTACAGAGAAAGTATTTTTGAACTGCTGCAGCAAATTACATACTTAGATGGATTTGATCAGGAGGATAACGAAGGATCTGAAGAGGATGATGATGAGGGTAATCATTCTTAATACTCATGAATGTGTCATAATTATAGCCTCCACTGAGCGATGCAAATTAGGTTAGTCCTGGAGGTTTAGGTGTGAAAAAATAAACAAGATGCTAGTAAGACAAGAAAAATTAAAAAGTCCCACAGCCCTTGCCCTATATGAATATTTTTAATTTTAGACTTCTGAGTATATCAAGAACTTTAATAATTAAAATACCAAGACTCATGCATTTTTATATTCATATATACTTATATAACCACTACACAGTAAAAGGGGAGACTTATAATAAAAAGAACTACTCATAACATCGTTACTTACAATAGCCAAAAAGTAGAAATAACTCAAATATTCATCAATTAATGAATGGATTTTAAAAAATTATGATATCTCTATATAGTGGAATATTACATGGACTGTTATTCAGTAGTAAAAAGGAACGAAGTAATGATATTTGCCAAAAATGGATAAACTTTGCAAACATTATAAGTGAAAGAAGCCAGAAACAAAAGAACATTTATTATTTGATTTCCTATTTATCAGATGTCCAGAATAGGCAGCTTCATAGAAACAGAAAATGATTAGTTGTTGCCAGGGGCTACAGGAAGGGGAAGATGGGGGAAGACTGCTAAGAGGTGTGCTGTTTCTTTTTGGAGTAATGAGAAATATTCTGGAATTAGTGAATATACGTTTCTTAATAAACAGGTGATTAAATAGCTGCTATTAAAGCATTCAAAGAGAATCACCTTAAATTTTGGAATGAAAGGCTGCTTGTTACTATGGTTTGAAAGCTCTTTTGCTGTTAAATTTAATGGATAAACAATATATAAAACGATAAACCAGCAGGTCTTGAAGTACAAAGTAAAATGAACTTTGTACATATAATGTTTTGCTGAAATTCTTTGCACAGGAAAAATATCAGTGTTTAGAAACCATATTTCTCAGCTAATAAATATGAATGTTGTAAAAGAAATATTTAAAGAAAATCACTCTGAGGTACTTCCTACCTATTGGCTTAAGAGCTTGAAGTGATTGGGGCAGGGGTGAAAAGGATCAATATACTAGCAAGAAACATTTGCCAACCATTTGTTCTTTTAAAATATTTCTAAAGATGGAGATGAAGAGGATGAGGATGAAGAAGATGATGAAGCTGGTCTACTTGAAGGATTTGAGGAAGAGGAGGAGGAAGATGAGGATGAGGATGAGGATGAATCAGGCTCAGAATTTGGAGAAGGAGAAGAGGAAGTGGGCCTCTCATACTTAATGAAAGAAGAAATCCAGGTAAATACACACTATTTATCTCCAGTGAAAAGTAATTATTTATGTGTAGGGTTCTGTAAGAAGGAAGTTGTATGGAAATCTGAGAATTATTTCTTAGGGTCTGTCTGCCTGTCTTTTTCTCCCACTATTCCCTGTCCCACACTATATCCAAATAATCATGAACACTTATTGATAGAGCTTCTTGAATATTTTTTAAACCCATTATGCCTTCAATGCTTTGGTGTGGTGGAAACATTTTGCAAATGTTTCTGAGCTTCAGTATCTGTATTTAGAAAACTGAGATTATAATATCAACCTCAGGATTGTTGTTGTTGTTATGTGCCTTGGAGTCGGTTCCGACTCATAGTGACCCTACACAGGGTTTCCGAGGCTGTAAATCTTTTGGGAGCAGACCGCCTCATCTTTCTCCCATGGAGCGGCTGGTAGTTTCGAACTGCTGACCTTGCGGCTCACAGCCTGATTCATAACCACTACGCTACCAATTTAATAATAGCCAATTTGTGTTAAATTTATTTTTATTTTGTTTTTCAATTTAAGTATATGTTAAGTGTTGTTGTTAAATGTCATCAAGTTGATTCCAACTCACAGTGACCATGTATAGGGTTTCCAAGGAGTGGCTGGTGGGTTTGAACCTCCTACCTTGCGGTTAGTAGCCCAGTGTTTATCCTACAGTGCCACACAGAAACTTTAAGTTTCTTCCCAGGAATTTCTCTTGCTTATTTTTTTAGAACCTTCTAAATGGTCTCGCTGAATACAGACACCACCACTAGGTGTACCCTTTGCAGTGTTGCCTGGGTAATCATCATATCACCAGCCAACTTGAAATGGTTTAATGATTCCCTAAGCACTGGACTGCAGACCACAAGATGCACGGTTTGAACTGACTCAAAAGCACTTAACAATAACAACAACACCTGCCACCAAGATCTTTGGCCAGGCCTACAAGGCCTTTCATTATGTGCCTCTTGCTTCCTCTTCTAGCCTCATTTTCCTCAGGCTAAAATTAAATTATTGTCTATCACACCAAGCTACATCTTGCTTTTATGTCTATATATACACTTTTCATTCTATCTGAAATGTTTTTCTACCCACCCTGTCTGATGAACTTTTTTTCTTTTTTTGTTGAGGTAAACATAATTGTAGGGAAGCATGTAAGATGCATTAATTTTATCTACAACTTAATTAATTTTTACATATGTTTATAGTAGTATAACCACCACCCAATCATGCCATTTAAGTACTTTCGAGTCAGTTCCAACTTACAGTGACTCTATATAAAGTTTCTGAGGTGTTAAATTTTTGAGGGAACAGTTAGTCTCATCTTTCTCCCATAGAGTAGCTGGCAGAGTCGAACTGTGGACCTTACGGTTTGCAGTCCAGTGTTTGTTTTATGGAGCCACCACGCTCCATGAGTCATGCCTAGGAACTCTTATTTATCTTTAAAAACTCAAACTCGTGAGTTGCCTCATTATTAAATCTTACTGTGATTTCTCTTAGGCCATCAGCCTTTCCTCTGATACCTTAGAACTTGAGTAAGAGTCTTGGTGTGGCACTGTAGGATAAGCACTGGACTACTAACCACAGTGTTGGTGGTTCAAATTCTCCAGCCACTCCTTGGAGATCCTGTACAGGGTCACTGTGAGTCAGAACTGACTTCATAGCACTTACCACCACCACCACCAACCTAGTTTGTGGTAAACTCCTTAAGGACAAGAACCATTCATTTCTGTATCTTAGCATATACTATATTGACTGTCACATAGAAGGTTCATGGGAAATATTAGCCCCTGGGAGTTTAGATAAGTGATTTTTCCTAATATTATTGAGTCTTAGAATTCAGTATTTTATAAGGAGAAATATTATCTCTTACTTAAACCAGAAATTATTAATGTTCTTGTTTGTTCTCCTAATTTAAATGAAGTTTTAAAAAAAAACTCTTTATCATGAATTCAGTGAAGGTGAGTGAAGGTTTATAGACAATATCATCAACTTTACATTTAACATATCATATACACTTTGTTTCATCTCAATGATTGCAATCCCCTCCCTGCAACAAAAGTTATTCCGTTTCCTTCCTGTGGTTCCTATTTGCATTCTACCTATCTTCCTGTCCCTTCTCAACTTTGTCCTTAGAAAAATGCTGCTTTTTTGCTGTTGAATGATTGCCCATTCCATGGTGAGCATTCCTTATAAGTGTTGTTGTCCCCCATTATATGGAATCCTAGTGTGGTGCTGTAGGATAAGCACTGGACCACAAGGTTGGTTTGAACCACAAGGTTGGTGGTTCAAACTCAGCAGCCGTTCCTAGAAACCCTATACAGGGTTGCTATGAGTTGGAACTGACTCAATGGTACTTAACAACAGCAACATAAACCTGTCTACTGCTTGGCTGAAAATTGTGCTATGAAGGTGAGTTCATTTCCAGACCTGAAGAGTGATGGAGGGTCATAGTCTTATGTTCCTCCATTCTCTTTCTGACCTGTAAAACTGGTCTTTTTTATTAAATAATTTTGAGGTTTGTTCCACATTTTCTCCCACTCTATCTGGGACTCTCTAATGTAATCCCTTTCAGAGCAGTTGGTAGTGGTACTGGGCACTGTCTAGTTTTTCTGGTTCTTTTCATATACTTATTGAAGTTCCCTTGTACTAACCAACACTGACACTGGCAAATGTAGAGCAAAAATTCCCAAGATAATACTTACAGTAGTAAGTCACTATAAGGGTAGATTTTGTTTGTTTGTTGTTGTTGTTGTTAAGTGCTGTCAAATCGGTTCTGATTCATAGAGACCCTGTATAGGGTTTCTAATGAGCAGATGGTGAGTTTGAACCTCCAACCTTGCAGTTCAAACCAACCTTGCGTTTGAGTGCTTATCCTTCAGCAGCACATCAGGACTCCGTAAGGGTAGCAGAGACTGGTAAATGTTTTTATTCATAATGGATAGTTTGTTGTTGTTGGTAAGTGCTATTGAGTCAATTCTGACCCATAGTAACCCTATATAGGGTTTCTTAGGAGTGATTGGTGAGCTTGAACCTCCAACCTTGTGGTTCAAACTGATTTTGCAGTCCAGTGCATTAACCCACAGCGCCCCATGAAAATGAGTCTTGATATTGGAAGCTAAGCACCAGAGAAATCTGCGGAGGCTATTGGGATGTAAAAAAAAAAAATTAGAAGGAAATACAAATTCTATTTGAGTAACTATTTTTTATTTGAGTCTTTTTATTTCTTATTTCAGCTGTTATTCATAGGCAAGGAATTAATATGTGCAATGTATTTCATTAAAAATGAGGGTGGGAATCTTTCTTAAGTGTTTGCTATATACATGTTTATGGTAAATATAAAAGAACATGCAATAGCGAAAAAAAAAAAAAAAGAGAGTGGGGACTTCAGAAGAATTGGGAATGATGGTGATCTTGTAGTACTAAAAGGTGCTTTGGTGGCCCAAATGGTTTACACTCAGTTCCTAGTCTAAAGGCAGTGCCATGGAACACAGGCCTCACAATCTGCTTCTTAAAGATTACAGCCAAGGAAAGTCATTGGAGCAGTCCAACTGTAACCTGGGGCTACTGTGAGTTGAATAGACTCAAAGGCAACAGATTTTGTGATTCTCAGCACAAATGAGGAAGCATTTCATTTCCCTTTAATAAGGAAAAGACTATGATAGTTTTTGCTAAACAATGGTGAAAGTTGAGTTTTTATTATCTAATGAAAGATTGGAGTTCTGGTGTAGGATAAACACTCAAACCCACCAGCCACTCCTTGGAAACCCTATACCCGGTCTCTGTGAGTTGGAATTGACTTGATAACACTTAACAACAACAATAATAAAAAAAATAATAATGGATGATTAGGAGAGGGAGAGAAAAAAAAGAGATATAACAATGTGACTAAATTAATCATGTTTTCTTTAAAACAAAATCCAGAATAAGAATTAGTTTTTTAGATCCCAGCTTTTGTAAACTTTTAAGGAATAAACATGATTAGTATCTCAAATAAAAAATAAAATGAAACATTCTCTTTTATTATTCTTTGCAGATAGAAGAAGTTTAAAACGTTGCTTTCTTCTTTCTCTTCCTACCTCCTTCCTTCCGTCTCCTTCACCCTTCTCTCTCCTTATCTTCCTCTCTTTTCTACCATTTAGGGCTACAGGTTCTCCTGCTCTTTCTTGTTATTTCTCTTTGTATTATTTGCTATCCCTTCTGTTTCTTTTTGTTCCTTGTAACTTGCTGGTATCTGGTGTGGAGATGCTTTTTACATGTTTGAATTCACTACATAAGGATGATTTTTCATAAAAGAATCTTGTTTCTCAGGAGCTTATAGCTAAATGCTGAAAACTTAGGATCTATTTAATATTTCTAGATGCAAGTGGAGATGTAGATACTGTGAAAAGAGTGGATTGTCAAAATTTTCTCTTAACAGCCCAGTGGTTCTTGACATTTGCTGACTGGTTAATGCATTTTGAGAAACTTTGTTGGGCTGAAAACTCTATAGGCTAAATTTTTTTCAAACATATCTAGAACTCAGCTATTTGAAACATAGCCAAGAAAAGGCAGTAAGTTTAAGTGGCCTCTAAAAAGCCAAAATATAAATGATAAAAAACATTTTGTTTGTAGGACAACCTGTTATTCTAAACCTGTTTTTAGTATTCAGTTGTATGACAAGCTTATTGATCTAATCTCTGATTCCATAGCAGATTCAATTGGGCTAATATTGACTACAAAAGAGAAGGTATAAAAACTAGAAAAAGATACAACTCAAAGTGTAGTCAGGGATGTTTTACAAAGAAGACTACTATCCTAAATGGAGTCCTGTTGTGGTGCTATGGGCTATTGCGCTGGACTGCAAAGTCATTTTGCACTGCAAGGTAACCGGTTCAAGCTCACCAGCTGCTTCTTGGAAATCCTACAAGGCCACTATATGTCGGAACAAACTCAATGGCACTTAATAACAACAACCATCCTACATAATATGTTCTGAGAGAATCAGCATATACTAATATGGTATAATGTTCATGGTCAAAATGGTGACCATGGTTATTCAAGGAAAAGGTCAACAAAAACAGTAGGAGAGTGTGCAGTGCATTTTAGAGACATATCCCAATTCACTATAGAGGTTTTTTTTTTTTTTTTAAAAAAAAGGTTATGATGCTTAAAGGCTATATTTAAATATTATCTATTCAGAACAACTTATCCTATAAAAGCTGTAGATCAACTTTTAGTGCACTGTTTATTAACCTTTGCTACTTTAATGTGTAGTTTTTTAGATGTGAAAGGACCTAACAAATCTTTTTAGACTGGTATTTTCTTTTAATTGATTGGAAATGAGTCTTGGAAAAATAAAATGACTTACTTAACGCATAACTACTTATATTTCGGAGCTAGGGTTCAGGTAATTTCTACTTTGATGTATAAAAGGAAAGCCCTGTTCAAAAACCAAAGCCATGTTTTTGAAATAGTCTAAAGTTGCTGTGTCTAGTATGAGAGCCACTAGCCACATGTGACTCAAAATTAGAATTAAAAACTTAGTTCTTCATTTGCACTGGTCATGTTTCAGATACTCAGTAGCCACATGCAGCTGGTAGTAAAATATATTGGACAGCATAGATAGAACATTTCCATGATTGCAGAAATTTATTTTGGACACTGTCTTGGTGTGGTGCCGTAGGATCAACACTGGATTGCTAACCACAAGGTTGGTGGTTCAAACCCCACACCTGCTTCTTGGAAACCCTTTATAAGGTCGCTATGAATCAGAACTTACTCAATGGCACTTAACAACAACAACAATTTAAAGCAAAGGAACCCTGGTAGTGTAATGGGTTAGACTTGTAATTGCAAGGTCAGCAGTTGTAATCTACCAGCTGCTCCTGTAACTGCCTTAGAAACACTATACAGGTTTGTTAAGAGTCAGAACTGATTCCATGGTATACAACTACTACCAATTTAAAGCATAGCTTATAAAACTAGGGATTTAGTTGGCTCTTTTAAAATAGAATTTACAAAAGTTAGGCAGAGATTATCAGAATACAGAATAAATGAGTTTCTTTGCTCTTTCTGGGTTGTATTCCATGCCAAAATATGTCTGACTTATTTATTCTCTAACTGAATATTTGAATTTCAAGGATGAAGAAGATGATGATGACTATATTGAAGAAGGAGAGGAAGAGGAAGAGGAAGAAGAGCGTAAGTTATATTAGTCATTAAGAAATCCTAAAATTAAAGTCATAGCTATTATTTATGGACTTTAAAGAATTATTCTATAATCAAATTACTGATCCTTATAATGTAATTTTGGTATGCCTTGAAAAGGAATTTAAACCTTTTTTAATGAATAACTTTCTCAGATAATTAATGAATTCCATTTAAAAAATGAAACCACTTACAACATTTAGTTTTAAAACAGAATGAAAAGATAATAGAACCTTGAGCTTAACTTACTGTGTTTTTAGATTGTTTCTTTTTGGAAAGGGTAAAGCCTTCCTTATCTGTATGAGAAGAACAGCTGAATTTTAGATGTCTTTGTCATGTTTTCCCTCCAGCACATTTTTTTATTTAGGTTTTCAAAATAATTTTAAAAATTGACTAACAAATTGATGTCAAGCCCTTAGAATTTTGATTTTTACTTCATAATGTGGCCACAAGGGTGCACAGTAAGCTGTCAGTGTGATCACCACCACCACAGCAATTAAGGCTCTTACAGTACACTGAAATGGAAAGAATTTCAGAGTGGAAACTGATAGATTTGAAGCTTTGTAATTTAAATACATATTCATTTATTAAAATTAAGTATTTTACAATTTTTCAGAAGAAGGTCTTAGAGGGGAGAAGAGAAAACGAGATGCTGAAGATGATGGAGAAGAAGATGACTAGATCATTCTAAGACCAGATTTCTTACTATTCTTGGGTGATTGTGTCTTCATTGTTTCTTCATGTATGATAGCTATCCTTGCAGAAATTAACGTGTAACTTTTTATAGGAAAAGTGTGGTTTTACTGTTTTTTGCCTTTTTATCATTCCAAATAAGATTTATTAGTCTGTTAATGATCATATTGTATGTAGAGAAAAATTTTTCATTGACCCTCCCCCACATTGTGTAATTCCATAGAAATTTATTTGGAATCTTAATTTTTCTAATTCATACTTGCTGCAATAGTCATTTTAAGGCCATAATGAAAACATGGTAGCTTTTTACAAGGTATAGTATACTACATTTCATTCGTAAGGTTTTAAAGTTATTTATAAACTAACTGAAGTCACAGTCAGCTGTAATATGAAATGACAATAGTCTTTTGAATTGGTTATTTTTTAGAGGTAATCCAGAGATCTTTAGTTTGAAGGCATCAACTTTTTTTTTGCTATGGATATTTGGGTACTTCATTGTCATAAGAATTACTTAGAAAGTAGAAGCAGAATAGTAAAGTCTCTATTTAGCAATAGAGTTCATGAATTTTGTGGAGGCTTCTTAAACCTCGTTTAAGCCGGGTGACTGTAAGATTTTATTTTTGAAGGAAAAATTACTTATACTGAGTACAGAGATGTGCAGGTTAGCGAGCCCTTTCTTCAGGCTGCAGATCATGACGTAACAGCAGGTCATTTGTTTTTACGTATGTGTTCTTTTTCCTCTCAGCAATTTCTTTATGATCACCTTCCTTTCTTGTTTTACTCCCCTCCTTCTATTTCAAAAAAGAAAAGTTGAGAAACCTGTAGCTCTCCTGGAGGACCTTTAGTCTTATACCTCCTTACCCACCTTCTCAGACCTGTTTCAATTTTAAATAAGCAAGATAAATTGAGTATCTTCTCAGAACAAATGTTATTATCCATATAGTTCTATGTAACAGGCTCTCTTTACTCTAAATCTCTTTTTGTTGATAATATGTACAGACTAATAGATGAGGAAAGAAAAGAAGCAAAGGAGGCTTTGGGGAGCATCATGTTCCTTAAAAATCACAATAATCACCTGTTGATATTTCATGAGATTTTAAGTTGGCTTCCTAAATGATTTGTATACTGCTATACAAAATATTTTTTGTTTTCCTGAATGAAACTTTTTTCTTTCTGCACTTACAAAGGATTATCAGCTATTACAGCAATTAATTGGGATATACTAACACGGCAGTTGGGAAAATATTTGGAACTTAATAATACAATTGAGATTTGTTTTCAAATGGTTGGGCATTAAAAGAAGAAAAATCTATGGGATAAATGTGAATGTGCCTGTATGTGTTTCCTTATATGCCTACTAAAACATATAACAAGTAGACTAGTACATCATGAGGCTCTTGCTTTTTAAATCTTGGCTATCTAAATTGTTTTCCTTTTGATTTGAATCTTTGTAAAAATTTTAAACATTAATGTCAGCAAATGAATTGAAGTTACCCATCCATGCTGGCACATATTGAAATTACTGAGTATAGTACTTTTTTAGTTTAAAATGTATGAGTTGAGTTTTAAAGTAAAAATTTAGGAGTTATTTGTAGAGAAATTAAAAAGTTACACAACTGACTGAAATGAAATTCTTGGGATCAGTTTAGTGGGGAGATTGATATCTCCAAAGGACTAACATTTTACCTCTTTTTAACAATTGAAATCTTTTGTTTTAATCCCTAATAAACCTCATCACATAGTATGCCAGATTATAAAAGTTATTTTTAAAATTAAATCTATATATTGACTTTCTTATCAATCATCTTATTGTGCAATCAAAAATAGAGTTCTTTGGTTTGAAAACAATACTTTAGAGCCTCCAGATAACTTTTAAAACTTATTTAGCTTTGTGGGTGATATTTTCATGCAAATAAGTCAGGGTGGGTTTTATATTTTGTAGAGGTTTTTGGTCCTATTTTAATGCTCTTTGTATGGCAGTATGTATATAGTGTGTTAAGTTTCTCGAGAATCTCTCCTCAAAAAACTTTGAAGTTAATACTTTTATGTAACTGTGTTTTGAATAAAGCCATGACAGTGTTAAAACAAACAAGCAAAAAAAAAAAATGCAGTACTCCTGATCATTCTCTTATTGTTTCTGACCCCCATTTTTCCTGTGACTGCTGTAACCTAGTTTTTGAAACTGAATTGCTTCAAATAAATTGAAGATTTGTTATAATGACTAGTTTCAGTATGATGTTCACTTTTCAACACAACAGGGGTCTTTGAAGGTCTTTTTAAGAACAGAGTATCATCTTGAAGTTAACAGGAGGCATTACGGTTTAGCAGCTTAATTTTGTCATCTTCCTTTTTAACTTTGTTTTAAGAAGCAGAAAAAATTCTGGATTCTCTTAATTTTTCATTTAGAGTCGCAAATTGAGTCAGTGCTGTTTTTTGTATTTTGAGCTGAAGTAATCATTTTATTACTTATAGTTGAAATAACTGTCACTTAGAGTTCACTAATGTACTTCTGGTGTGGCACTGTAGGATCAGCACTGGACTGTGAACCACAGATTGGTGATTTGAGCCCACCAGCTGTTGTTGGAAACCCTATCCAGTGTCTCTATGAGTCGGAAGCTACTTGATGGCACTTCCCAACAACAAGCATATAGATAACTAAGGGAGGTTTGTGGGTCAGTGGTAACACTCATCTTCCCTGTGTGAGACCCAACTTCAGTTCCCTCCAGAACATTTCATGCACAGCTACTACTTATCTGTCAGGGGAAACTTGCATATTGCTATGTTGCTGGAGAGACTCACTGGCATTTTCAGACTAGGATAGACTTTTAAAAATCAGCCAATGAAAACCCTGTGGATCACAACGTTCATATCTGACTCATCATGGGATGGTACAGGACTGAGTGTCTTTTCGTTCCAGTGTATATAGGATCACCATAAGTTGGGTTGATTTGATGACAGCTAACAACAGCATAACTAAATCAATTATAAAACATGTACATAAATTATTTTCAAAAACAGTCCAAAGCCTCCATATATCTTCTATAATGTTGTTTACCTTCAGAATCCTTTGCTAATCTCCAGGCAGTCACTGGATTACAAACAAATTCTGTTTCTAAATCTTTTAACTTGAATTTGTATGTAAATCAGAGAAATTAGATACGGTTCATATCTAACATCAGTTAGTCAAATGATTGTCTTAGTATATAGCATATAGTGTATAACTTCGTATGCATAAAAAAACAGAAACACTTCTAGGTACATTAAGATGTCTTTAACATAATAACACAGTAATGTTTTGATATATGTCGCAAAGTAACTGATTTGTTAGTATGAACCTTATATGTATTTCAAAACTTTAATATAATAGACTCTGCAAGAATTGGTTCATAACTATGGGTTGTATATAAATTGGAGGTTTGTAACCTGGGGACTGCCTGCTAGTACAAATACACATAATTCTTTCATGGTTTACCTTGAGTAAAACTCCCTTGAGGCAAATAAATTTTTTTCTTTTTTTTTCCTTTGATAAGTGATTTTTAGAAATGTTTATTATGTAGATAATTTGAAACATCTGTTTTGTAAAGTCAAGGCACCTATAATGTTAAGTGATGTTTTCATGATTGTTTTATATGGTATAATATTGAAAAGGTATTTTAAAAATAGAACTTGGTAAGATGGTAAATATTGAAATACATTTCAACTACAAGTGTAAGTTACTGAAAACAGTATATTTTTATCTTGGGTCTTCAAATTATTGAAAGCTTTTTACCTCTTGGTGTAAGAAAATGATAGAACCATACCATACGAAGTTTTTGATGGAGGTATTAGATTAAGAATCAATTCAATGAGATTGTAATTTAAAGCATTTCTTAGTGTCATTTATTCCTTGTTGTATATTTTAAAAAGAGGCTTTGGAACCTGTGACACTCATTCTTTCAGTGACTGAAAATTTCCCCTCTGCTGTTGTTCCTAGTGTTGGATGCAAGGATCTTCTGCAGCTGTTGTTTAATAATAGCATTCTACTACTGCATGCCTTTTTAATGTACTAATCAGTGGAAGATTTCAAAGCCTGCCATGAGTACTGTGACCTGAGGCCGTTACTTGTGTTAGTTTTTATTGAACAAACCTGACTTGAATGAGAAAAGGTTGCACCACTAAATAGAAATTATGAAATGAGTTTATTTCTAGGAGAATCTTTAAAAGGATCTTACATACTAGTAAAATACTTCTATTTCATACACATCTACCCACTTTTTGGCGTAGTAAGACCCTGAATCAGGGTTACCTATAATAACCCACTGCCATTGAGTCGATTTCAACTAAATGACCCTATTGAACTGAGTAGAACCACTCCATCGGGCTTCCAAGATTAATCTTTATGGGAGAAGCCAGTCTCAGTTTTCTCTTTGAGGAGCATCAGGTGAGTTTGAACCATGGACCTTGTGGTTAGCAGCCCACAGTTAACCCATTACCACCAGTGCTGCTTTATCTATAATTGTTGTTAGGTGCCACTGAGTCAGTACCGACTCATAGCAACCCTATGTTCAACAGAATGAAATACTGCCCGGTCCTGCACCAACTTCACAATAATTGCTACACTTGAGCCCGTTGCTGCTGCTACTGTTGCAATCCATCTTGTTGGTGGTCTTTCTCTTTTTTGCTGACCCTCCACTTTATCAAGCATCATGTCCTTCTCCAGGGATAATATGAGAGACGAATTCTGG